GAGTATTTGCATCCAAATTCAACATCCAAATGTTAGTTTTAAAGTGTCTAAATAAACATTATTTGAGCATTTGCATCCAGATGCAACATCTGGATGCAAAAACAAACAGGGCCAAGTATATCGTGCTAAATATTTTCAAAATCAAAGGATTTCACTTAAATGTATAAGAGACATATTTCAGTAACAAAACTATGAAATTAATCGAATACCTTTTAATTGTTATCGATCACATTTCAGTTTTTGAACTAGTCATTCTCGAACTGAATAAACAAAAATGTAAATGAGACATAGTTTACGAATTCAGATTAACAAATGAGATCATCCTACATTTTGCCAAAAACAATCTCGAAAATTCACTAAAAAAACATTGTTACAACAACATTTCAGTATTAATGGTAATTCACAAATTTTTCTTATCTCTCTGTTTCGTTGATGTATTTTGTTTCTTCTTAAGAGTGTATTCAAAGCCTGTAAGTTAACAAAAGTATTTAAACTCATATCTCCACAAAAACAATAAGATAACACAAACAAAGGAGGAATAGAAAAATAATAAATTTCTTAACGTTTTTACCCAAAAAAAAAAGAATAATTTTCTAAAATATCACATTTTAAAGTTTTTTATCTAAATGTAGCACCACCATTTTAATGTTCCAAACTTCCAATAATAGCACGTACTAAAAATCCCTTTTATGGAAAAAAGGAAAAACTCTAAATACAAACATAATTTTTAATTTTGTTTGCAGTTCACTTAGGATAAATAAATATTATTACACTGAATTTTTGTTATTTTCAAATTTAAAATTTGATGTGTTACGTTTGTAACATAGACTAATTTTGTGCCATTTTAGGATATTTGTCTAAGGAAAATGTTGCCACCTCTTATTTTATTTACTTTTTTTATGGTTCAAAACCTCTTATTTTCATAACTAATTGCAATGGCTTTGTATGGCTATGTAGCTACGTCAAAAATATCCTACTGAAAAACAAAAATCAATTTCCATCCCAGAGTTATAATTAGTTTTGGTTGGATGTGTATATTTATACCAATTTACACGCTACACTAATTTCAAACTCAAAAGCGTGAATTAGTTTCCCCTAATGAACTAATTTATCATATTCGATCAACCTATTGAAGGCGTTTCAACCAAAACAAAAAGATTATAAGATATCATGACTCTTGGACGATGACAAAAACCAGTAGAGAAAAAAGAAATGTATATTTAACAAAATTAGAGAGAAAAATTAAGGTAAGGACAAATGAGTATGGTCGAATGAAATCTCTTATAGTCCAAGAATAAACGTGCAAACATATATAATTTATAAGATCTTTTATCCAGCAAAAGAATCTGTAAATTGCCGTAAAAAACAACATACTCAGTAAATCTTAAAAAATAAAAGTTTCCCAACATAATTGTTTTAGTACGAAATTTCAAAGAGTGTAAAAACTTACAATAAGTAAACCAGTCAAAAATAGTACCAATAATATTTTAACGTTATACATTCTAAGCCGAAATCAAAAATTATTTTTGTTTACGTCAAAAATTCAGCTATTTATCATGTAAAATGTCTATATTGACTATGACAAATCGAACAAGTTTCACAAAAAAATTTCATAGATAATGAAACTTGTTCGATAGCCTTGATCTACGTAACGAATATTTTCTATCCATTCAGAACAATCATTGGACCAAACGCTCTTGACGTCAATATTATAATGACGATTAAACTTGAAAAAAAAAAAACATATTCCAGATGACCTAAGGTAATAACAGTATACACATTCTTTTAATTTTTTGCTAAGAGTATACAAATTCTGAATTATTCTCTGTATAAGGATTAGCTGTCGTCTAACTCCAGTTCTTGTTCCATCCTATTCTCACCTCCAAAACGAAAGAAGATAATATAAATCAAAATATATAAATCGAAAATGAGGAAACTGAAAGTTTCACGTACTAAAAAAGCGCGTGACTATACGCGCCCCTAATTTCTCTTTCTCAGCGGCGACAGAAAAAACCTAGTCACCGAATTCTCTCGACGATCCGCTGTCCGGCATCATCGTCGACCACTGCTCACCTGTCTTCATTATCGGCGAGATTAACTGAGCGATCTCCCTCTCCCATGGATCTGTCCGAATTCGAAACCCCATTTCGAAGAAAAAATCCCGATAAATCTGATGGTGCTTTCTCCATCGTCAAAACCACCGGTAAGTCCTCTTCCGACATCCCAGATCCTCGCTGGCCTTATCTTAGTCGCTGGACGGAGAAGACCTCTTCCCCACCGGCGATGAGTCCAGGTGCAAGTCTGCAAACGGCGTCGGAGGATGCGCACTCGGTGGAATCAATGGTTCGTTCTTCGCAAAGTACCCCTAGAGCTTCGTCGGAAACCAAAACAAGCTCGTCTCTTCCTCTTGACGTGAATATAGCAGTCGATCCTTCTCTCCCTCTGGGTTCGATTACAGCAAAATCATCTAACCCAGATACATCAGTCTTTGTATCAGTAGAAGCTCCGGCACACTCAGAACAGGCAGAAAAACCACGTCTCGATGTCACAGAACAAGTGGAGGTCTCTGTTGCAGAAGAAGTTTTTCCATCTTCTAAAACGGTGGAGATAGCATTGGCTGATCAAGGAAAAGAATCTCATGCTGTTCAGGTTCCCATTGCTCCTCTCAAAGGAGCTTGGGCCAAAAAGTTGAGCTTCTCCCATGCCTCTGTCTCTATTCCGGCTGCTCCGCATGAAGTCCAAACTGATTACTGTCCCAACAGCTGCTTTTCACTCCTCCATCTCAGCCACTGTTACAAGCCCTGAGGTATTTCCTTCAGAACCCATTGTTTTGCCATCTAATGAATCAGTTTCCATTGATCCAACTTCGACTACTATCAATGAAGAGGCTTGTCTATCAGTTCAGACAAGTAAGTCCATTTTAGAAACTATTGAATCTCCTCTTCTAGAGATTGCTCAAATTTTATCTTTCCCTGCTTCTGCTCGTGCTTCTATCACTGTCCAAAGGGAGAGTGCAACTCAAGCTGAGCCATGTCTTGGTTCCAACCAGTTTGCCTCCTTGGTTTCTACGGATAGAGGAGAAGATTTGATTGATGAAGGATTTCGATTCGATTGATCTTATGACTCCTTCAGGTAAAAGAATTCTTCGAGAAAGACCATTAAACCGTCGACCAAAGCTAAAGAAATGGGTTGGCAAACCATTGGTAGTGGTGGAAGAGGTAATCGTGGACGTGGAAAACGAGGTGGTCGTGGCTAGTTAGTTGCATCATTTTGTTCATTTCAGTCAGTCGAAGCGGAAGATTCGATTGTATATGGTGCACCGGTTGTACTCTTAAGCTTTTTCTCTACTTATAACTTCTTTTTAAAACTGTATGATTCATTTAGAATCATGGCTTGTAATGGTTTCTTCTTAATGAATAATAAAAGTGAGTTAAAAAAAATAAAAAAAAAAAAAGAGAAAGTTTCACGATAAAAAACTTTGAATTCTGTTGTGAGAGTTGTCCTAGAAAACAAAAAACGGCCAGAAGAGATTTTCCCAAGAAAACGGAAGTCATATGATATGATGAATGATGAAACTGAATCTTCAATCAACCCCTTTGCTACTTTATCATAGCCAATTAGATACGTCGATTCCCTCAATTATTATTTTTGTCTATTATTCTTCGTTTTTTTTAAATTCGACCGAAGTGGGACTTGCAATATTCTTATACTTTCTGAATATATATACCCCTATCTAATAATGAATATTAAGATAAATGGGTTTTATTACATCATGTAAATAGTTTTAGACAAGAAAATATCTTAAAATTATTGTAATTCATCCGCCACTAGCTATGGACTCCGTCAGTCTCTAGAGAAATTCAAAAGTTTTGTCAAGTAGTCATGCAAGTTACTATAAAATCTTATCCCAGCAAACCATCATCATTGAATTTTACTAGTAAAAACGTTTAACCGTAGAGTTTTCTCGAATTATGATAAAAAAAAAATAGTCAGTCAAATTTTGAGCCTCCACGAATACCATAACTATCTATATCATATATAACATAGCCATTTTGTATGCTTTCAAAATCAGAATACTACAGTCGTTCTCACTCTCATAATGTTATATTTTCGTTATGAATCTAAGACAGTTACTTCCGGTGATAATGTCCACAACAATATATATATATACCCTTGTCTTTGTTTAGTGTTATTACCATTTATAACGTTTCAACTCTCACTGTCTCTCGGCCCGTGAGTTCTCTGGATCAATAGTCAGTGCACTATAGCTTGAGTTCTAAAGACTGGCCGATAAGTTCATCACTAAATATTTGTTTTCATGTTTTTCTTCACTCACATCGCCGTATTAAAAGCCACTTCCCACTTATATTCACTCCCTAATAAATTATTTAATTTGAACTTTTTTCAGCTTAAACATACATAATTTTCTAAAATATTATTGTGAGTAAAATGAAGACAAATATATTTTATTATATATTGCCAAATTAGTTATTCTGAACCTGTTTTTATCTTTCAAAATCAGGTATTTCAATTTTATTATTTTCAAAAAAGTAAATCACGACTAACAATTGATAAAAAAGAATCTAACATTAATCAATAATGTGTACTCTTACAGATATATAATTCTTTAACAAAAAACAGATCTTACAGATATATAATTATTTTGATGTGTTTTATAAATTAGAGTTTCAATTTTTAATTAAAAAAAAAATAAGATACGTGATTAATAAAAGTTGTCAATTCTAGTAATTATTTTGATATTCAAATAATACTATATGTCGGAACCCCAACAAAGTTCAACTAACAAAAAATTAAGTTACTTCAAACATTTTCTAATGGTCAGTTTCAATGAGTAAGAGTACTTATCCTTGACTTCGACCAATATGAAAAACCTTCACAACCATGAACCCATTACTTAATATAATAAAAATATATATTTTTATTTACCCAAGGTTCTTAAACTGTTGCTCTTTATCTAGTATAAATAACCCATCAAACCCCTATAAACCATTAGGCCTATAACATTCTACCAAACAAGAAGGCAAAAGTTTTAGGCCATGAAGCTTACTTCTGTGTTCCCTCTCCTCTTTCTCGTCCCCTTCTTAGCCTCATGCGCTGAAAATAAACAGGTTCTTAATTATTATTATTATTATTATTTTTTATTTTAAAGGTTAATTTAATCATTCTAAACTTCTAATTTGCAGTGATTTGCTACCATAGGGAATTAAAATCTCATATATTGTTGTTAATCAGTTTCGCACATATTCAATTCATGAAATATATTGATATACTTTTAGGTGTATATTGTCTATTTTGGAGAACACAAAGGTGATAAAGCTTTACACGAAATTGAAGAGAATCACCATTCTTATCTTCAATCGGTCAAAGAATCCGAAGAAGAGGCCAAATCATCGCTATTGTATAGCTATAAACATAGCATCAATGGCTTTGCAGCTGAGCTAACCCCTGATGAAGCCTCTAAACTAGAGAGTAAGTAAAACCCGAAAGGAAAGAAAAAAATCTTAACAAAACCCACTTTTTATTCTGTTATTGAAAAAGGGTATTAACCAAAACCTTTTATATATTTTTTTAAAAAAATTTGTATAACAGAACTAGAAGAGGTTGTTTCGGTAATCGAGAGCCACCCAAGAAAATATGAAACGCATACGACACGGTCATGGGAATTTGTAGGATTAGAGGAGGAGGAAACCGATGACGATGATGTTCGACGACGTCAAAAGGACGATGTGGATGATCGGTTTCGTGTCGGAAGAAAGTTTTTGAGGCAGGCAAAACATGGAGATGGAATCATCGTCGGTGTTCTCGACAGTGGTATGTTAAGCTGTCTCTTCTGAATATTTAGATTATTATTGTTTTTTCTGGTAATTAGTTGCAAAATACTTTTCATAATTAAAAGTTGTCATTCTTTTTTTTGTTCGTGGTAACCGAAACCATATCCGTTAAGACTTGAGAGTATTCATAGTACTAAATAACCATTAAGAAAATACTGTAAACTTTTTTTTTGGAAAAAGAGAAAATAAAATTTTTAGTGGTACTTTATTGAATAGCACGTCCTATGTTTAAACAACATGTTATTTAGCATTCTGCGTAAATGTTATTTGCAAATTATATTTAAGAAAACCATAGTTATTTACGTAACTACAAAAAAATTATTCTTATTTACCTATATATACTTCATCTTTGTCCGTCAACGAAAATTGTGTAATTCATGTGAACCTTTGTGTTATCCTTACTTTGTATTTTTCCTTTTGTCCCCTGTTTCCTCACTCACATACACATACATATAAGCGCCGAGATAATAGCCATAAGATGGGGTTTTCGATATTTAAATAGTAATGAGATAATGTTTTGGATTCTGAGAATAATTACTGTTTCCTTTTTGATGAAAACGTATACCAAACTTAATTGGACCTAACTCCAACGTTGATAGTTGAATTATTACGTGACTAGAACATAAAGAGAACATTAAGAGTTGCGTTATGATTAAGAAATTCGAGGTTCGAGAAATTCAAGATTCATTTCATTAGGGTATTAATTTATCATTAATCATTGCGATATAACTGAGCGAATAATCTTTTTTATTCATTTTTTTGGGAAATAAAAGGGGTGTGGCCAGAATCAAAGAGTTTCAGTGACAAAGGAATGGGACCCATTCCAAAATCATGGAAAGGAATCTGCCAAACCGGTGTTGCCTTCAACTCTTCTCACTGCAACCGGTAAGATAATTTCTATTTTCTTTCTATGAAAATATAATTATTTCACTTTTTTGATAGACAATATATTAATTTTTCAAACAAAAGAAAGAAGATAATATCTTTATTTGTTTAATGATCGTTTAATAGTCACTTGATGATTAAATTAGCTGCATGAACAAATGTAGTTTCTTTTGATACAAAGGATATTGTTGACATCTGCATGTCTATAATCTGGAGTATAGAGGCATATATGTGGCAATTTTGATTAAATTATACGACTTAAATTAGTCAAATATTTAAATGATAATATTTAAGTAAAACCAAAATAAGAAAATAAGAATTAGCTAAATATACACACTACAACTATAACACATTCATATATGTACTATACGCCCGAAATAGATTTAGAATTATCATACGTCCATCTCATCGTTGGTTCTTTAGCAAAGATCCAAAGAACCATATGCTCAGTGCGAGAAACTTCTTTCTATATATGATGTGATATATTTTGTTCTATATATTGATCATCAAAAATTCCAAAAAAAATTAAAAAGCGAATATAGTTATATAGAATAAAATTGTAAGTTGTGACTGATAAGCTATGAAATGTCGGAATTCTGAAAATATCTCACAAGTATTCAGGTTTATATATTTAATTATAAACATAGGTTTTATACAGTAAATTTAATTGGCATAATAATATCGTCATTCCACTAATTCTCATGCAATATAATAAACGAATATTTTATTCTTTAATTTGTTATTTTGATAGTATTTCTGAAGAGAATAAACAGTAAAACTTTTCTTGTAAATTGTGAAATCCCAGAGACACACAGAATAATGCATCATATTCAACATATTTTATCTTTTTGATTAGAGAACCTGCAATACATATATCTAATAAAAAGATATAAATAAAAATTAGTTCATTTCACCATTTTACAGTTACGTTATTTCTGAAGATCCCATTATAATAGTACACTTTTTTGTTTTCAAGATATGGCAACATTTCCCATATATAGAAGGCATTGTTTGTGAGTTCCACTGTCCAAAGCATTAGGTCACAACTTTTAAGCTTGCGCATCATCATTCACGAGTCTCCATTCTTATTTTATTTTTATTAATTGATAAATAAAACAACTTATATATACTCAACGAATTAGAATTATTTTTTCTGCAGACTCTAACTGTTCAGTTCTGTAAGCCTGCCATCAAAACCATACAAAATAAAAGAAGACATTTATATTGGCTAGTTTTATGCATGAAGTTGAAGAAACTTTGATATATTAAAATAAGCTTTGGTATATATATACATATAATTTTTTATCAACTAACTTTGGTATATATGTAAGGGACAAAAACTTATTTGATTCTTTCTAGATAATATTGTACACCCGTGACTTCTCCCTTGTTTGCTTTACCAGCAATTCTCATGTTGAAGTATCAAGGTGTGCCCGAATTTACGTGTCTATATATATATATATATATATATATATATATATTTAACATGTCATCTATATATATGATACTTGTTCAAATATATATTATTTTTTTTGCTTGTGCATGGTAAAAAACATAACTACTTATATATTAAAAAGAAACATTTCTTCTTATCTACTAAATTTTATATTCTGATTTTGTTGAAGTTGGATGTCCACCTAGTTTCGTTGTGTCAATGTTGATTTTTTAAAAATAAATTTTACTCGACACAAAAAGATTAGTTATCACAGTAAGTAATTGTATGATTATTCCATGCTTATGATAATTACCTTCGATTGTCTTTTGTCACTGAATTATAAATTTCTGATTTCTTTCCAATTTTCACAGGAAAATTATTGGAGCGAGATATTACGTGAAAGGATACGAAAAATATTACGGATCGTTCAACGTTACAGCGAACAAAGACTTCTTGTCTCCACGCGACCCCGACGGACATGGGTCCCACACAGCCTCCACCGCGGTTGGTCGTCGAGTCTACGGTGCAGCCGCACTTGGCGGTTTCGCCATGGGCTCGGCCTCGGGTGGTGCACCGTTGGCTCGTCTAGCCGTCTACAAAGCCTGTTGGGCCAAACCCAACCAAGAAAAAGTTGACGGAAACGTATGTCTACAAGAAGACATGCTTGCGGCGATTGATGACGCGATCGCTGATGGCGTTCACGTTATTAGCGTTTCGATCGGGACTACTGAGCCTTTGCCGTATTCGCAAGATGGAATCGCGATAGGAGCGTTGCATGCGGTTAAAAGAAATATTGTGGTTGCTGCTAGCGCGGGAAACTCAGGGCCTAAACCGGGGACTTTGTCAAATGTAGCGCCGTGGATTATTACCGTTGGAGCAAGTACTCTTGATCGGGCTTTTGTCGGTGGTCTTGTTCTTGGTAATGGTTATACAGTCAAGGTAATTTAGTCCACAATTACAAAAAACAAATTCAATATATATGTTACATTTTTGTATAACATATAGTTTTTCTTTTGTGTTATTTTAGACGGAGTCGATTACGGCATTCAAAATGGACAAATTTGCCCCTCTAGTTTACGCATCTAACGTGACTGTTCCTGGCATTGCATTGAACAATACATCGTAAGATTTGTTCTCTTATTACAATTTTTTTTTTAATCTCGTTATATTAATGATTTTTTTTTCTTTTTATTGGTGAAGGCAATGTTTACCGAATTCACTAAAACCGGAGCTAGTGACTGGTAAAGTGGTTTTATGTTTAAGAGGAACCGGTTCAAGAATCGGTAAAGGTATGGAGGTAAAACGAGCCGGAGGAGTCGGTATGATTCTCGGAAATTCTCTGGCTAACGGCAATGATATTCCATCGGACTCTCACTTCGTTGCAACTGCTGCGGTGACCCCGAGTTCAGTGGAAAAGATTCTCGAATACATCAAAACCGATAAAAACCCGATAGCTTTCATCAAACCGGGGACAACGGTTTACAAAAACCAACCAGCTCCTTTAATGACCGGGTTTTCGAGCCGCGGTCCGAGCCTGATAGATGCCAACATTTTAAAGGTAACTTTGTTGGTTGTTTTTTTTTCAACTTCAAAAGAAAACTTAAAACTTCTCATCATAACCGAAACCAACCGGTTTAATTCATTTTACGGTTTATTACAGCCGGATATTACCGCACCGGGACTGAATATACTAGCTGCATGGAGTGGAGCAGATTCACCGAGCAAAGTCTCGTTAGATCAAAGAGTAGCAGCTTATAATATCTACACAGGAACTTCAATGTCTTGTCCTCATGTTTCTGGTGCAATTGCTCTTCTCAAAGCTACTCATCCCAAATGGAGTAGTGCTGCTATAAGATCTGCTCTTATGACCACTGGTAAAAAAAAAAAAAAAATCGGTTATTTTCTGGTTTGGTTTAGCTAAACCAAAATTTTCTTTCGGATTTACCTAAAATTATGTGTTTGTGTTATTGTTATAGCTTGGATGACCAATGATGAGAAGAAACCGATCCAAGACACTAATGGTTTACCAGCGAACCCATTTGCGCTTGGTTCAGGACATTTCAGACCAACTAAAGCTGCGGATCCCGGTTTAGTCTATGATGCATCATACCGAGCTTACCTTCTCTATGGTTGTTCAGTTGGTTTTATTGATATCGACCCGACATTCAAATGTCCAAGTAAAATTCCTCCCGGTTATAATCTCAACTACCCATCAATTGCGATCCCGAATCTCAACAGAACGGTGACCGTTAAAAGAACGGTTACAAATGTTGGAGATGGTAACTCAACAAGCACATATATATTCAGCGCTAAATCACCACCTGGTGTCTCGGTTAAGGCTAAACCGAGTGTTCTGTCATTTAACCGGATTGGTCAAAAGAAACGGTTTAAGATTGTGGTCACGGCACGGAGGGACAAGATGATGAATGTGACTGAAAAGGGTCAGTACCAATTTGGATGGTTTAGTTGGACAGATAACTACCATGTTGTGAGGAGTCCAATTGCTGTTTCCTTATCGTGATTGTTGTTTTGTTGCTTATTTGGGGTGGTTTTTAGTTGATTTGGATAATAGAGGGATCAAAGTGAAAGAAAAATAGAAGACTTTTTTCTAATCACTCTTCAGATTCCTTCCTGTGTTCAAATCAAAGAAGTAGTGTCATCGTTATCAATTGTGAAGATAGTATAAGAAGAAATCACGTATTCGCAAGTGGACATGTGGATTTGTAATGGGCCTGATTTGAGTTAATCAAGAAGTTCAACCACTATAGTTACTTCTATGTCAAATAGACTAATATCGAACCCAATTTTTTTTGTTTTTGTCATATATTATATCATCCAATCAAATGTCAAAAAATTAAGTAAGTATAAGACCCTTTACTTAGTTAATTCCAGCGCGACAAAAAAAAAAGATTCGCGTAACAAAATATATACAATTCGATAACTTTATTTTTCCTTATTTACATAAATAATACCAAAATGGCTTAGAATATTCTTATACTCAACTCTAATTTCTAGTTGACTAATCTACGCCAATATTAAGTAAATGGATTTATATAAGTCATGTAAATAGTTTAATACACTATGAAAATATCGGAAAGTGGTATATTCCATCAAAAAGAGATTTTCTCATAAATCCTAATTAAAATTTCTTAAAATTTATCTATCTAAAAGAGATATTCTCATAAAACCCCATCGTACTCCTAATATTTGGTATCACCAATTTAAATTTGTTGCTTTCTTTGTTATAAATAGCCAATCAAATACTCATTAAGTATACAGCATTAGGGTTACAATAGTTCTCCAAAACAAAACTAAAAGAAAATAAAAAACCTAAGGGCATGAGAAACATTCCTCTCGCCCTTCTCCTCTTTCTCCTCCCTCTCTTAGCTTCATGCGCTAAGAAAAAGCAGGTTATTAAATTTTTCTATTTAAATTTAATATATCAATTCAACAGTTTAATTTTCAGTGAATCTCAATCCTAAATGTGCATCGAGTTGTGATCATTTCCCATTTTGATATTCAAATTTATTGTTTCTTAATTAACTCCTCACATTGTCAATTTTCACTTGGGTTTTTGTAGGTGTATATAGTCTATTTTGGAGAACATAAAGGGGATAAAGCCTTACATGAAATTGAAGATCATCACCACTCTTATCTTCAATATGTTAAGGAATCTACAGAAGACGCCAAATCATCGCTATTGTATAGCTACAAACACAGCATCAATGGCTTCGCTGCTGAACTAACACATCGTGAAGCATCTAGACTAGAAAGTACGTAAAACCCTAAAAAATGCTAAATTTTTGAATGAAACCCTATTCATATATTGTTATATATGATTGAAATCGAGTAATTGTTATATATATGCTAATTCGAGTAAACCCTATTCATATTTTGTTCTTTTTGGTGATAGGATTGAAGGGAGTTGTATCGGTATTCAAGAGCTATCCAAGAAAGTATAAGATCCATACGACAAGATCATGGGAGTTTGTAGGGTTAAAGGATGAAGAAGGCGATGATGGACGTTACAATTATGATGCGAATGATCAGTTTCATGTGGGAAGAAAGTTTTTGAAGAAGGCAAAACATGGTGATGGAGTCATAGTTGGTGTTATCGACAGTGGTAATTAAGCTTCTCTACTAAATAATTAATTTTTTTCTGTCATTATGAAATATGAAAATTAGGGTTTCTAAAAAGTTTCAGTTACGTTTTATTTTTATTTTATTTTTTGGAGCTACTGATCAGAAACTTATGTTTATGAATTTATTTAGAGAAATTACTTCATGAAATTTGGATAAGTAGCTTAAAAGAGTAAAATTGTGTTTTTCATGGGAAGCTTTGTGTTATCCATATACTTTTGAGTTTTCTCGCACACATACACAGATATTATGTAGATTTTTTCTGCTAACAAAATTTTAGTTAGAATATATTTAGGTTGTTGAATATTCTTGAGAGAATATCTAATTTGGTGCTATATTATTGAGCGAATAATCTTTTTAATTAATTCATTTTTGCGAATAATCTTTTTAATTCATTTTTTTTTCTTTTTTGGGGAAATAAAAGGGGTATGGCCAGAATCAAAGAGTTTCAGTGACAAAGGAATGGGACCTATTCCAAAATCATGGAAAGGAATTTGCCAAACCGGTGTTGCCTTCAACTCTTCTCACTGCAACCGGTAAGATAAATTATGGCTTATTCTTAATATAAAGAAATATCTTCATTACTTATAAAACTATGTAATTACTAGATAATAATATAAATATACATAACCTGATTTTATCAGGTCAGCTCCTATCTCTAGTTTTTATTTTCAACATGAACATTTTCAGCGGATTATACCAAGCAGCCACAATGAGATCACTGAAACTTCAACTTTCAAACTTTAGTATTGAAATTAGACTATGTATACTAGGAATAATGTACATCCATGGATTTCTTAACATTTATACATATTTTCTTAACAATTTTATTAGAAAATGATGAAAGTTCAAACATTATTTTGGATTCACGCTTTAATTCAATTATTCAAGATAGTTTTTGTTACTCTTAAGTTTTACTTTCTCCCACCTTGATTTTTCATATATATATATATATCTTTGTAGAGATGCAAAATAACTAAATTTATAGTTACTGGTACACTTCGAAAGTTTATTATTTACTAATATAATCATCAATTTCGATCTATACTAATCACACGAAAATTATCGGAGCAAGGTATTACGCAAGAGGTTACGAGAGATATTACGGACCGTTCAATGCCGCAGCTAACAAAGACTTCTTGTCTCCACGAGACGCCGATGGACATGGCTCACACACATCTTCAACCGCCGTTGGTCGCCGAGTAAACGGCGTTTCCGCATTCAACGGCATTGCTATGGGCACAGCTTCAGGTGGTGCCTCACTAGCTCACCTAGCCGTTTACAAAGCTTGTTGGGCCATTCCAAACGCTGAAAAGATCAACGGAAACACTTGTTTCGATGAAGATTTGTTAGCTGCGTTTGACGATGCGATTGCTGATGGAGTTCACGTCATCAGTATTTCGATTGGAACTAGTATACCTCAGCCGTATTTAAAAGATGGAATCGCGATTGGAGCGTTACATGCGGTTAAGAAAGATATTGTGGTTGCGGCTAGTGCCGGGAATGAGGGACCGGGTTCTGAAACGCTGTCGAATCCAGCTCCATGGGTTATTACCGTTGGTGCTAGTAGTCTTGATCGGTATTTTATCGGTCGTCTTGAACTTGGTGATGGCTATAGATACGAGGTAATAAACCCTAATAAAATCATTATATTTTCATTAAAATATTTAGTTAAAACGTCATTAGTTTGAAACGAAATATTAAAGTATTTTTCTACCATGTGTTAGTTATATAATGTATACTTTTTTTTTATAGTCCGACTCCTTAACGACATTGAAAATGGACAAATTTGCTCCTCTTGTGTATGCTGCTGATGTCGTTGTTCCCGGCATTTCAAGGAAATATGCATCGTAAGAGTTTTTTTTCCCTCTTTTACTACAAAATTATGTAAATTTTGCTTTTGTTGAAACTATCTTTTTTTTTGGGTGAAGGCAATGTTTACCGAATTCACTTTCACCGGAGCTTGTGAGAGGTAAAGTGGTATTATGTTTGAGAGGTCACGGTTCAAGAATCGGTAAAAGCCTTGAAGTAAAACGAGCCGGAGGAGTCGGTATGATTTTAGGAAATTCTCGGGTTAACGATGTAATTCAGCCCGATCCTCATTTCGTACCGACAGTATTGGTTCTCTCGTCTGCGGTCAATAGGATTCTCGATTACATTTACAATAATTATGAACCGGTTGCTTTCATCAAACCGGCAAGAACCGTACTTTACCCATACCAAACAGAAGATTCGGTTTACCCATCATACCAACCAGC